TTGCTGGGATGTCATTGCATTGCTATGTCATTGCATTGGTGTGATGTCATTGCATTGGTGTGATGTCATTGCTTTGCTGTGATGTATTGCATTGTTATGATGTCATTGTATTGCTTTGATGTCATTGCATTGATGTGATGTCATTGCATTGGTGTGATGTCATTGCTTTGCTGTGATGTATTGCATTGCTATGTCTTTGCATTGCTGTGATGTATTGCATTCTTATGATGTCATTGCATTGCTGTGATGTCATTGCATGGCTGTGATGTATTGCATTGCTATGATGTCATTGCATTGCTGTGATGTATTGCATTGGTGTGATGTCATTGCATTGCTATGATGTCATTGCTTTGCTGTGATGTATTGCATTGCTATGATGTCATTGCATTGCTGTGATGTATTGCATTGGTGTGATGTCATTACAAAGTTAAGATGCCAGTGCATGCTAATGTTCTTTTGAGAAAGAAGTGTTATTTTTCATTGATCACATTAAATGAGTTAATTTTTCTCTTTAGCATGGATTTGGTTGAGGATCATGATATTGTGATAACAAGCTCTGTTGACTGCACTGTAAGGCTGTGGACAACTGAAGGCCACTACATTGGTATCACCTTTGTATTTTTATGTTATGTTATAAAAAGAATAGTAATTATTTTACGAATGTATTGCTAAGTAGATGATGTGTCGGTTTAATATACAGTAGACAGTGAACTGGTGGATCGTGCTCAGATTGTTGGCTTCATACAAACCATTCATCACAGTCCAGTCTTTTGCATTTTTAAAATGAGTCAATAAAGTTGACTTTATTTAAGTAAGCTTTTTTCATGTTTAAGGTACTCTTGGTCAGAGTGATGTTTGGGATATATATAATCCATCAACATTCACCTATCCTATGGTTCCTTATGATGTGTTAGTGGATCCATTAAGCATGCCATCTCATCCGGTACTAGATATTAAAACGTCAACGGAAGAAGTTATTCATGCAGACTCAGAGGATGGGGACTCAACTAATGGAAGCAGCGGTAATGATGAAGAAAAGGTAACTTATTTATATTACTGAAATAGTAGTTTTTTTAAATTACTTGTTACTAGAAAGTTTTGAAATGTTTTCATTTTCATCAGAAATTTATAAGAATTTTTCTCAGTCCAGGTGTTTAACCCAATAGTACAAATTTTGCTTCATGTTGATGTAATATTGTATTGATATTTGAAACATGTTTTTTTTTCAGGTGGAAGTGAGCAGTGTGGTATTTAGTAGCAAATCTACATTCCATTATGATGATACAATGATAGCCAATGAACTGAAGACCAAGCCTTTTGACAACAGCTGTGGAAAAAGGTAGGTGTAGATTTTCATTGGTATTGAGTAGCTATTACCTTTCTTCTGTTTGACAAAAACATCTGTCATGCCTAAATATGGTCTTGATGACTTCACACCATGACCATATTTGCCCAACACAAGCCAAACCAGTCATTCCTTGCAAATCGTGTTTCGGAGATGTTTGAATGTCAACGTTTTCAAAATCTATTTTATTACCCCAAACATGCCCCAAACTACACTTTACATATCTATACATCATGCTATGTTGTTCATTTCCCTATTTTCGATGTTAAACAATATTTTTTAACGATTTGGCAATGGTCTCTGACTGAGAAATGTCCAAATTCGTAAACTTTGAAGTCAGATTTCTGAAATATTGTTCTTTAAACAGTTTTATGTTTAAATGCCTTTAACAAAATGTCAGATTTAAATGATTCCTTTACAATTATAGCATTCATTTTACTTTTTGACACTGTATTAATAACAACAAGATTTGATAGTTTGGACAGGGTTTAAAATTGAAATATGTGTAGTTGATTAATTGATTTGATTTTATCATTTAGATTACGGCATGAAAGATTGAAAGCAAACCCCAAAGATCGAGGAGGACCAAATGCATACCAGAAGCTAAAGTGTTTCAGCTTGGATGACACACCTCCAATAACTCATCCAAGCAAAAATAGAGAAAAGATACAAGATCCTATTGGCTTTCACCTGTAAAACAATTGGAATTGTTTTAATGTTAATGTGCAATTCATTGATTGAAAGAAAATAATTGTTGACTCTATATAAAAGATGAAATCTATTGATATATTTTGCTACAAGATTAGTTTAGAT